ATAAAACGATATTATACAATGATGCATGTCTGCTGACGTCGATCGCTCATTATAAGGATAATATTCGTTCGCCGCTCAATTGTAGAGCTTGTTCGACGACATAATTACACGAATACGTTATGTGTTCAAGAAAAAATTGTAAATAATTTCTCGTTAGCTCTAATTTATGCTATATTGTTTCGGACTACATTATGTTAAGTGTTAGAACATTTATCTCGTCCATTGTTATAAGTTATAGGTTTTCAAATGGAAAAGTGACAATAGTTGCGAGAGTAAGATTTCACGGAAGTCCTTCAACTGCTTGTCCTGAATTCTATCTACATTTCCTACTTTTGGGAAAGATATTTCCAATCCCTCAAAGCCGAAAGTATCTCAATAGAGCTGTATTATATAAGAGGGTAGGATTTTGGAGTTCGGAAGAAGCACTTCTCGACATTTTATAAAAGTTGAATTTGCAACCCTTTGATATTATTTAATAAAATAATATTATTAAGTTAACTAAAGTTAAGCTCGTGGCTTGTCACAAAACGTATTGTCATCTATCGTCAAAAATGTGGTGAGTGTAAATTGTTTTTTCATTTTGTGTTTTCGAAAAAAAATCGATTTGACGATGAAAAAATTAAAACAGTCAGGGATTTGAGAGAATAATTAAAAAATAAAAACCAATCCATTCCATTTCCATCGTAAGAGTCACAGGATCACTAATTTATGAATCGTGTACGGAAATTATTCGGATAGGATTGTACATGTGCGCACTATAAGTAAATATGTTGATTTGAATCTTTGACATTTTGTGCTGTCATGGAATGTATACTTCGCACAAGAAACGTTTATATAGGTCATACTTCGCGCGGCAATGCACGTAATAATAAATTAATTTTAATCCTCGGTACACACGCGTTCTCGGAAAATTCAGTAGGTATATTTTGTAATATTGTACACGGTACGTGATATTTTCATGCTCGGGCTTTGTGTCACGAGATTATAGATCGTTATTAAAACAACTGCGGGGCACCGAGTAATATTTTGTGGCGTAACTGTGAGTAATGCAAGTCGTTTTCGTTAATTATCGTTTATTTGTAAAAAGCTCATTACTAATGGGACCGGAACGAGAAAATAAAGATGTACAACATTTACAGTAAATCATCACACGGAATAACGAAGTAGTACCGGAATAAATCGAACGACAACGGTTCAAGTTTACGTTATCGTCGGATTTACGGTTCGACGAGAGCACCGGACGGTTCAAATATTTTTTCTCTGGATGTTTGCAGATGACATTAAGTTTTTAACAAGTTAAATGATTGGACACCAAAATAAATGGTAGCACACGCGTTTTCGGGAAGCAATTTCCGGTCGGAGGTCGTTTGACGGTAGCTTGACGAACGAGACACAATTTTCTTCACTCCGCTCCACATAAATGGATAGTGTGTAAAAATCGTCAATTTAGTAATTTTTCTCAATGATTCCTATAGTTGGACATGAGCAAAAAATAAAAGCGCGCCCCAAAAAGTCGTCCAAAATCCGAGCGACGCGCGTGCAAATCCCTTTGACCGAGAGCCATCGTCGAATCCGTTCGGATCATTGTTGAGCACTCACGCTTTGTCCGGTCCAAAAAACACCGGATCGTTTATCGCGCGCCATCAATCGCGTTCCGGTATACAACATCCAAATCGGAAACACACGTAAACGCGTTCTGGATGCGCCGAGCGGACGACTAATTTTTCTTTTCGTTTCCGTCTTCCCCGGGTCGTCTCGCTTCCCGGTAGGGCCGGATTGACCTGGCGAGTTACCGAGTGAAACTCCATGGACCGCGACAATTTTTGGCCTTTTAAGTTGTGAAAGGCCACTAACAGAAAATATTAATAGTTTTAAGTTGAAAATTAGTGCACCTATTGAAATATACGATTATAGAAATTTGGACAAGGGCCGCTAGTTAGTAAGTGGGCCGGTAACATACAGAAAACTCGGTGGGCCGAATTTATCCAATCCGGCCTTGCTTCCCGGCATAGGCGTAACTAAGGGGGCGCAATAGGGTTTTTAACACCCCTGAGTTCAAATGTAGCACTCCTGTTTTTTTTCAAATCTATGTAATCTATAGTAATTAAAGTTAAATACCATTTAATTTTATTTTCAGCAATTTCAGCACCCCCAGTATTTGGGCTCTAGTTGCACCCCAACCCTCCGACCACGGATCTTCTCCTTTGACCCTTGCTCGGCCATTAAATTCAACCGTCAGTGTCACCACGTACGTTCGAGTGCAACAACGACACTGGCGAGAGGAAAAGCGAAAAAAAATACTAGTAGAAAAAATTTTAAAAAAATCGTGTTTGCGCTACGCACGCGGGCGCGTGCATGGTGCACTAGTAAAATATGTGACGGGAGTTGTGCCCGTACAATGTTTTCGCGGTTCGATTGACATTTCCGCGGGAACGGAGAGAAGTCTCTTCGGGGCGCGCGTTTTTCAAATGTCGAACGTGCCGACGTCGCGCACGACCTTTGTTCACGTTCGCGACGGCGGCGCCGGGGCACGCGCGCAAGCGCCCGTCACCAGCAACAGCGCTCGCCGGGAAACAATAATAATTGACCTTTTCCCCCGTTCGGTTCCGTCTGGCGATGTGATATTATGTGTATTGTGCACGGTTGCCTCGCGTACACTCTCTGTCCAGTGTTTATTTCAGCCCTTGTCCCTCCACCCCCAGCACCCAATCCAACACTGGCCATCACCCGTGGGAAATTGGCAAAAAAATAAAACCAATGCGTTTCCAAGTTTCCGTGGCTCGTTCAACCGTAATTCACATATACACACACAAAAATCATAAAAAAACAGGATTTATGTGTGTATATATATTTTTAATTATCATTTGATCTCGTCAAAAAAAAAAAACATTAAATAATTTTTTACTTTTTTCATTGTATACACGTATTGAATAATAATAAAATTGTTTTTCGACCGACGGGTTCGAATTCGTTTTCGATCACGTCTATTGCTCCTTTCGAGCAACTGCACCACGGTAATTTCGATAATTTCACTTCCCATCCGTCGGGGCGAAAAATGCTCTTCTTATCGACGCGATTATTGTGAGTAATAATCACGCACGTGGTAACAGTAGTGTACGCGAGTGTTGGACGCGTATGTGTGTCTGTATAACGGGCACGAGCGTTTTGTATAATATGATTTTATCCTCTGAACCGTAACATATGGCTTTTCGTACGTGCACACGTTTTTTAAGTGAAATATGCATATATTATTACGCACTCGGCGTGGTCAGGTGCTGACGTCCAATAATCAGGTCCGACGTTATACCTTTGGGTTGTTTACCCCTTCATCCACGAATGACCGTAAAAAAGTAAAGTTATGTTTTTGTAATTATTTATACATTACAGGGGCAAATCTAAAAATTTTACACAAGAAAGAGGTGCTTAGCCATATTTATGTAAATAGGATATGCACGGTAAATTGTGGCTTTAGGAACAATTTTAAATCTTTTAACAACTAAAGAAAAAAAATTACATAGTATTATAAAACAAAGTTAAATTTTTGTTGTTTTTCTTTAGAAAGCGACAAAAATTGGTGATGTAACTAAAATTTTAAGAAATAATGTACGTATCGGATAGTAATTTTGATTCAAATAAATTTTGAATTTTTGATTCGATGTCTCATGAGCAGATTTTATATTTTCAAACACAGGATTTACTAATAAAAATAAATGTTCTTTTTTCACGGAAATTACCGAAACGATGATTTCCTGCAGAATCGAAGATAACGTTTCAATGATATTTATAACAGTACACTGTATCTTATCGATTAATATAACACAATTATTGGGGTGTAGCTTGTATGTACAAGAAATCTTAACCGATTTTGTACGATTTAAAATTGTTCATATTATTCTATTGGTAGACGAAAAGCTTCTTAAACGTTAAATAAAAAATAATTGAATAGTTTTTTTTTTCACGTATGAAAAAATATTTTTTTGGGAGATTTAAGAGAGGACGCGTTTTATGTCCCCCACTCTCTTGGATCTGCGCGTAATACATTATAATTCATTGAATATACCTACACGTTTCGTTAATACACAATCCATAAGTATGGTAAGCATCCCATGAAATTCAGGTCTGCTCGAGGCATTTGTTATAGAAATTATGTATCGTAGCGGTTGGCGTTTACCCGGCAGTCATTTATTTACACACGTACACGTAGGTGTACAGTACGTGCCGGGAGTCGAAACGGTCTTGTTGACTGTTGTGATCAGCGAACTGATTTGAGAAATCGAAATCCGACTACAAATTACATACAAACGTACAGCGTCATGATATGTTCTGGTTTCACCTGTACGGATTATATATTTATGGTGCTCCTAATTCTTTAGGTTTATTAATTTTGACCCCTAAAATTTTTCATTACTTGTAATACCACCACTAGTATCATATACGATGTTAACTTTCGGAACGTATAGATATATACAGTAGTTATATATTTCTTAATAAATGAGAAAATAAATACACTTGGGAAATCTTATATACACACACACACACACACATATATATGTATATGAATATTATACGCGTAATTAAGTATATTGACGGATAACATTTTCGAAAATAAATCAAGGATTCAAAGGTCAACTTTCATGAGCTTTTTTTTAAACTTACTAAACTTAAATAGTTTATCTTCAAAAATAATCGGTATAGAATTTTACAAAAAAAAGTTATATATGTATGATCTTTGTCGGACACCATATATTATGGTTGATTATGGTTGTTAAAAATTCTTCAATTTAAATTAAACGATTATTAAATTATGTAACAGTAGCAGAAGACGGAGACAGTAATTGTGGCAAATAAGGCAATAAATTTAATTCGTCAACTTTAATAATTTTAATTAGATTTATAATTGAAATGTAGTTTATTTCGACATTAAATATGACAGATACATTATTAGTATAATATTGCTGAGAAATCAAAAAATGTATTAATTAGATTTTTGATAAACAAAAAAAGTAAGTAAGCTTATATTCAAACCATTAAATTTAATTATGACAAACATATTATTAATATTACATCATTGCTGTCTTGTCATTATTTTCATTCGTCGTTGTGTGTAATTTTGTAGTTCGGGTAAGCTTTTTCCAAAACACTTGCCGAAATCGAATGATCGGCCGGTCCATATTGCTGGAAAAAAAAAAATAAAAACATTGTTATAGAATACATGAAATAATACGAGTATAGTTTTGCTATTGGATTTTCTCAGTTAATTATTATGTATTTATAAAAATAATATATTTCAATACTAATCAAAATCATTATTATTATACAATAATTTTTCCAAAAAAAAAAAAAAAATAAAATGTCGAATGCAATTCGAATAATACACATTAACTGTTAATATTTTAATTAATTTCTTAATTTTATTATACATACATGTATATAATAAATTACTTGCAATTATAATGCAATTATTTGCAGTAAAATATTGTGTTTCTAATGGTCAAATGGAGAGTGAGAGTACGGTGGAATGTTATCTCGTAATTATTTTTTACCAAATCTTTTTTTTCAGAATTATATAATATTTTTGAGAAATATTGTAATTTTGAATTGTATTACAATTGTGGTTTTCTTGGCAATATTATCATACAATATTTTTTCAATATAATTATATGATTTTTATGTAGTGTTATTTTTAACTATATTTGGCCTATAGGTTTTTATTAATATTTGTTATAGTAAAAAAAAAAAAAAATCACTAGTAGAGTAAATATCTTTTAACGACAACACATTGGGACGGTAAACCATTTTTAAAAAAATATTTTTCAGGCTATTATTACTTTTATATAACTAAGGAATTATGGTTCTCTGAAAAAAAAAAAAATTGTTTACATAAATCTCAGCCACTTTGGGTTCCAAGAATCTTAGTTGCGGCGTAATACCAGTATTGAGACTAATATTAATTTTTTTGTTCAATTCTATAATCGTAGTACATAGTATAATATATTTGAACGTAAACACAACTTCATTATTAATGTAAACATAATGTGGGTACGTGATGTAGCAAATAAGTCACAATACGTTACAGCACACTCTACTAACTAATGACCGCTGTGATTGAAGGTTTTTGGGTTAAAAAAATATAATAATAACAACAACAATAATAATAAAAAATGAATGAATATATTTATCCACAAATAAACAAATAAATTATATGGATATTTTAATTAGAAGGTAGAAAACTTACGATATTTTCCTCCGGTACCAGTTATTTTAAACCATTTTGACCATTACCGTGCACGCATTTCGTATTATATGTAGTATCAATTTGAAACGAAATCGTACTTAATCGGGTTCGCGCGAAAAATAATTGCTGTTATACTTTACGTGTATGCTATAAACCATAATCCTCAAATCGCCGGACGGGACATCGAACTGAGTACATTAAATCGGTGCCATTAATGTGGACGCGCACGTTTTTACGCATACTATACCTAACCGCTACGAATTCGGTTTCGCCCGCGAGATGTGCAGCACACATTATACCGACACGAACGTTACACTAATTTTGTGTACAAAATGTCACACACTGTTCGCTTGTGAACAATGGTGTACAAATGGCGGTGTAAGGGAGGGTTCGGGATTTAAATCCACCCAAGGACTAAAACATTAATCCACTTTTGAAACAATTAGAATGAAAGATATGCACACCATGAATATTTTAACGTTAGAATAAAATGTAGTGTTTGTCAACTACGACGGAATCATAAAAACATAATTTTTTTTTCTGAAAAAGTATAGAAAAAAAATAAAAATAAATTAACGTATGATATTGACATAAAAACTGTGTATACGATTAAATCCATATACATGTAGATAATCCACGGCATTGCATTAGACAATTGTATACACGCCACTGCTATGTAAAAGTTATTACAGACACAGCATACAGTAATTATTACGAAGAGAAAAAAAATTCAGCGGTATCTTCCGGCCGTAAAAAAAATACGTATTGAATCGATCACAGTACATTTTGTTACGCGGAAATGCGCGCGATGGCGTACACGGAATAAAATAAGAAGGAAGAAGAAAAAATACGTAATTCCTCAAAAGTACCATTTTTTCGCGCGCATCGATGTGTACTTGTTCGTTTAAAATAAATACATATTCGTTGAAAGATTAATTTAAAGTTCGAGTTGATTTACATCTTATGTGCGCAACGTTGTTTTATGTTTTCATTATAGAACTTTTTAAAAACGTCGTTTTCGCTTATAAACGCATGTATCATATCTTCTTTCATAAAATACAATAAGCTGAACTTTATACGAGCATCACTACCTATGTACTTTTTATTACATGATGTTTTCGAAATTGACCGGACCCTCGTAGGATACAGAGAATATTATTTCGAAAAAATCTTGATGAATTATTACTAATTTCCATTATAAACAAGAATTTCAGCGGAACGCGATAACGTGTGTTGTCTGTCGAGGGAATGTTGATTTATACCGGAGCTCGAGTTAATTTGTTGAAATCATTACTATCGTTTTATCGGATCTCGTTCCTTGTGTACAAAGATTTCTCAGTTTCTCTCGCGAACACGTTTTAGTCACATTTTTATATTCGGCTAATTATCTACCATGCAATACCATTTAAAAATTACTTTTATTTTTCTTCACCGACACTTACATTATAAATAATATTGCTATACAAAAGTTAAAAAACTCATTTTTTTAAAGCGACTTTCCATAAAAGTTTAAAAACAATTAATGACAACTCGGAAAATGTTCGTTGAGACTAATTCGCGTCTCGAGCTTTTAAGTCTCGTAAACGGTAATGGTTCGCGAAATTGACGGAAAACCGAATCAACAACTAAGTTGCATAGTGCGTGTCGAACGTCGGTGTACACAAATATTGTTCTTGAATGTTGTTCAGAGACTCGGTATACCTGATCAGAGAGCGAACGTTCATAAATGAGTCATCAATACTATACTATTTTATTTAATTATTATCTATACTGTAATACTGTAATGTTTAGTTTCGTAATTACAACTGCGGTCGTCTGCGCGAAATATTCGTACAAAATCACAACCGCAAACACATTTTTCCGAAGCGAATTGTATAAAAGTTTTTATATTTTATTTTTTTATTTTTATAGTTATTATAAAAGTGTTTAATAACGATTACAGTTTTACCGTAGTTAACCACTGGAACTGCGTAACTATATTGTCACTATGTACTTTTTAATATTTAAATTATATCGTAATATTATTAAGTTTTTGCGACGATCATCGTGATGGTAAAAACGTTGATCCTATGGGGTAAAAACTATAAGAAATTTATACGGTCATTCGGTAACGGTTAAATATGAAAAATGCATAATTTATATTCGCTGGGAGTTTGTTTTTATTTTTAATGAGTAATAGGAACTTCAAATTAATAATTCAGATCAGATGAAATATTAAACAAACTAAAATAAACGTATATTCATGTCACAATAAAAAATAGGTTATCATAACATTTTAGTGTATAAAAAGATAATTGTAAAACAACATTTATGTTATACTATGTTCAAATTAGTGTGTAAGCAATAATATGTATTATTAGGTTAAGCTAAATGTATATAAGATAGAGGACTAACAAATAAAGAAGGTCTTCTGTGGTGGTCGTGTCACACGATCACCATAGGAAACATATGCATTTTATTAAGTATTAACTTAATTCGAGTTGTGTATATGTGTCTATAGTACGATTTAATCGGCGTATACGACAATAACATTACAGCAAAACAATTAGGTAAGCATAAATAAGACAATTACATAAGAAGAATACGAACAACGAGTTGAATAAATGAAATGGATTATAGGAATAGAGCGAGAGTTAAGAAAGAGTATCAGGAGCATTAGGAGTGATTGTAATGGAGCATTTTCGTAAGAAATGGCTTTTCTTAGGGCTACCATATAAAGATAAAAATAAACGATATGGCAGTATAAAATAGCATCCATGATATTACTAAGTACATATAAGAGGTACTATTTTACACTGCCAGGAAGACAAATAATGACAGTGTAAAATGGTACCTTCTAATAATAAAACACAGTCAGAAGATGCTATTTTACATTCGCAAAATAAACAAACGTGCCTATTCCAATAAACCTACGAAGACGGAAATATGATTAAATAAGAGGATCCATCACATAACTGTCACCCATCATCATTTCATCTCATTGTTCTTGATCTGACAACACGTCCGTCATCAACAATACTCTCCCGTTTCTACAGGCAACAGCGCCAACTTAAAACAGCAGTTTTCACTGCTACCTTCCAACAGGCAACAGCGCCAATCCTAATGAGCCGTTCTCACAGCTTCAACAGGACATGAGCGTCCACATCCAAATCCCGCGGACCGCAGCACTCGGGTTAGCTCCGGCTGTAAAACGACGTCACCGTCCAACAACCGGCTGCTGCCTTGCTGAAAGACCGCGTCAACAACTACTTCGTCAGGGCACCAGCGCCCAAGGTAAGCCGTCGCGAAAGCGGCGGTTATTTTATTTTATTTTATTTTATTCTATCCGGTAAACCCGTGCGCTGTCGTGGGGCCACGCCCTCACACTACCGCAGCAACCTTCCTACACCACCACTAAAACCCATTCCACCCAAATAAAACGAAAAACGTTCTATTCATAACGACAGGACTTTTAACTACCATCCTAGCTATGGCCGGAAACAAACCGTTAAAAAGCGTGAAGGTGGTGGCTCCGCTTATCATTCTCCTCAGGCTACCAAAGTCCCTCGCCAACGCTCTTCACCCCCGTCACCATCACCATCGAGATCCTCCGAATCAGAGACAACCGACTCCCTTTCGGACTCAAGCGTCTCCACCTCAACCTCAACTGCCACTGAACGTTCCGCTACCCAACCAACTTCCGCACCAACTAAAACTTCCACCCTTCCGACACTCACCCAAACTCCGTCACATCCCACCAAACTCCGACCTCCACCAATCATTTTAAGCTCCAGTTCCTGGCGTAAAATTGCACCCACCATTTACAAACTGCCCGACTTCAAACCATCCTCTTTATCCGCCAAATGCTCCGCAAATGGACAAGTATCCATACAAACTTCTGACCCAAACACTTTCCGACTGATCCAGACCACCATGATTGACCACAAAATTGAATTCCATA